GGGGGGGGGGAGAGGGGTACTCATGTTTTGTACTCATGTTTTGCATGGCTTAGCGGTTAGACGATTGACCACGCGTCCTCAAGAGGAGCCGGGGGGCGGGGGGGGGGGGGGGGGTCGGTGAAGCAATGGCATTTAATCGACGCACGACCATTCGTTCATGCATGTCAAGTGTTGTGCGCGTTAACCATAGAACGAAGGGCTGTGTACACGAGCGTTCGCCAAAAAACTAAGCCTATGTACATCGGCACCGGCACATCCGAGATATCCGGCTAGGGTATTGAGAGACCCCGAACGGTTCGCAAACCTTTCCTTGGTGTTATTGTTGTTGTTATTGTTGTTGTCTTTACATCAAAAACCCTTCCGATCTCTCTCTACCCAGTACCTTCGTATGTCCGTACTGATACAGCACTCGACGCGGTCGATTCCCGTGGTCACAGGTTAACTTACCCTAAGAAGGTACACTCAAACAAACTGGCCCCGAGGGGTCCGCAGTCAATAGAAATCAACGACAGATATCAACGACAGATATTCTGGAGTCTTCCACTCCCTCTGCGCGCTATGCAAGGTAACAACTGAGACTAGGAGTCACCATCACGGGCCGGAGAGAAAGAGGTACACCCCCTTGGTTCCATTATGGTACGTCACAACGCAAGCAGAGACAAGGCCATCTGGCACAGAAAGAGAAAGAAAAAAAGAGAGAAAAGGAGAAAACAGAAAAAAAGAGAAAAAATAAAAGGAAACAGAAAGGAAAGAGAAACAAAACGGAAGAGAGCGAGGACAAAAAGGGACCACCAGGCCGAAAATGACAAGAAATAAGAGACAGAAAAAGGCACACGGTGGTGAGACCACTAACGAAAAGCAAACACGCAAAAATGGCCACCAACCAGCGATACATTGTAATGTTGGGGGGGGGGGATTTTCTAAAAGAAATTCAATCCGGCACGTATCGGGCCACTCGGTCCGTCTCTTCTCGTTTGCTTTCTTCCCTCGCCGCCTCGTCCGTCTCCTGCCCCCCTCCCGCCCCATTGGTTGTTGGCTTGTGGTCCTGTTGGAGTGTTCGTTGTCGGCTGGCCTTTTCTTCCTTCTCGTGCCAGGAGGTCATGAACCTCTCAGCTCCCTGCAGCACCGCCGCATGCCAGGGTACTCCCTCCTCCACCTTCGTGGCTTCAGTCCACATTGACTTCGATGCCGTGTCTTTCGGTACCGGGATTCCAAGACAACATGGATCGGTTTTCGTAGATACGTGGTCGGCCCCGCATGCCTTCAGGTCGTCAAGCACACACTTCGGCCAGTTCTGTTCCTGTCCCCCCCTACGTCGCTTCTACCCCCCCGCCAGCTCGCTGAGCATCAGTCGTTTCGGGAGTCCGCCCGTCCGGCTACCTTGCCAATGCTCCCGTGAACAGCAGGCGTCGTTGTCGGATCGTGGCTTCAACGCTCTGGCGACCCTCTTCAGCGTCTGGGCGTAAGAGAGCTGCCGGTAGGTATGTTTCTTGCGCTTGTACCGATGACTCGGAGCAGTAGTCGGTGGTGTATCGACCGCAGCGTCTGATAGTGGCCGCTGAGTGGTGACCATGTCATGCAGCCGTACAGCAGTGCCTCCATCGCCTCTGCCTGGAGCGGGCGGATCTTGAGTCGGAATGGCGCTTTCGGTCTGACGAAGAGCTCCCGGCCATATCGCCTGAGGCACGCCCACGCTCCTCTGCTCCTGTAGTTGGTCTCCCGGGTGAGGTCGCCATGTTCGTTGCCGAGGCCACCGAGGTACCGGAACTCGGTCGTCTGGGCGTATTTCTGTCCCGCGGCTTCGATGGTCAGCGGTGGAGGCGGGGGGGGCTGTGATGTTGTAGTCGGCTTGTCCTTCGCGCGCATCAGGAGCGTCTCCGTCTTCTTCTCCGACACCGTCAGCCCCAATTCCCCGAATACCTCAACGATGATGGTCATCATTCTCGCCAGTCCTTCTGCAGACCTCGATACGACGCCGGCATCATCGGCATACAGCATCCCCCATACTGCCCTCCGTAATCGGTCAAGGCGTGTCTCCTCCCCCCCCCACCGCTTCCGTCTTCCCCTCCTCCAAGCACACCACGCTCGAGAACAACATCATCCTCGCTGATTCCGATGACAACGACCTCGAGGACCTCGGCGAAGAAGATGTTGAACAGCAGTGGGGATAGCACACATCCTTGTCGCACGCCCTGTGTCACGAAGAACCAGTCCGATAGTTCTCCGTCGTCCATGCGCACCCGGGCCCGCATTCCATCGTTGAATTGGCGGATGACTTTGATCAGCTTCGCGGGAATCCCGGCCCTGGCCAGCACCTTCCAAAGCATCTCTCGGTCCACCCAATCACACGCCTCCTTCAAGTCGACGAAGCACATGTAGAGCGGTATTTTCTTTCTCCGCCCCAGCTCCTGGCGGCGGCGCACGACGAACAGCATGTCGACGGTGGATCGCCCGGGTCGAAATCCGCACTGGTCCTCCGGGAGCATGTTGTTGGCTTCACAGAAGGCGCTTAGACGGTTGGTGATGATCTTGATGGGGACCTTGCCTACGTGAG